ATGATTTCGGTAGTTATGTTTCTAAGTATTCTTTTGTGCTGAACAACCCGGTTCTTCCGCTTCTCCTCGATAACTGCATCGGATGATTAACTCGAATTAGAGTGTTCCATGATAAAAAAGTGTTTTTATTTCGTGATCAGTGGCTAGTATGCCGCGTTTCTCAGGAACACCGTTTTCCGAATGCCCACTTGAACGTCCTGAATCTCCAATGCTACATGATTCATTTTGTGATTAGTCATTCCTGTAATGGTGTGGTGTTGCGCATAACCGATGTGGTCAGGGTCAGGAGTAGTTGAGATACTGAGCGGAAACAGTTTCGTAAGAGGGTCACAGGTTTGACCAAAATCCTCATTTTCTGGATCGCTTTCCATTCAATAGAATCAGTCAGATCGCTCGGCTTCGCCGGGCGTTTTTCCTCTGCGTGTGAAAAGAATACCCCCCCCCATGAGATTTTTAATTGAGGGCCAGTCGGGTCGGTCAACTGGAACGGATACTGATTCGAAAATTTCTGACCTTTATCATTTCATTCACAATATATGCCCCTTAATAGGGTGTTCGCTGATTTTTTTAACCACATCTCTTATAAATTGTTGGGGACGCTTCGTTCAAAGTTGAAGCGGCAAGTTGTAATAGCATACTGTTCGGCTGTTTCCTACCTTCCCCTCTAAGGCTTCACTTGCGAGTTATCATGAGTTAAATGTTTTGTCTTATCACGAGTTCAAAATTTTGTAGAGAGCACCGCTCATTTATAGAACGCCCCGCCCAATGTAGGGATGTCTTTCTTATTTGATGTGCACACCCATTTCCCATCGTTTCCCTCCCTTTTTTCCACTCTCCGACTTATCTGGAGCCGAGTTTTTAAAATAAGCGGATCCTGGTCAAGCGCACGCTGCGCAATGGCTCTTTAGGTGCTGTCGAATTTTCGGGCAAGCACCCTAGACAGAGACATGTGCCTCTGATGTGACTTTCCTCGTTTCCTGGCTCTTAGCTGTCGCTACCTTAGCGAACTAGCGCCGTATTATATTTTTTTTCTCATGTATCGCGTTTCCACTTCGGTATTTTGTACAACTCTACAGAATCAGCTCCAACTTGGCTCCGTCTCCGCCTGTCGAAGAACCTCCACAGAATGCCAACTTCACTCTTGAAGTTCGTATCACGGATTTTGAGAAGAAGGGCGATGGAATGAATGCCTACATTGTTTACAAGCTCATAACAAAGGTTTGTTTAAACGTTCCAGTTACAATGTTTTTTATTTGCTTTTCTTTTGGCTATA